CAATCGACTTTGAAGCGCAGCTTACACTCACTTGTGCAGTTCAACTTTCTTACATGCTTTTCTGAATATGTAAACAATAATTCTACATCGACAACTCGAGGAACAAAAGCTGAAAGAGGCGATGCCGAAACTCCCGAAATGTCTCTTATAAGTGTCTTACGAACCTTTCGAGAGAAGGCAGGCATTAAGGTATAAAGATGATGTGTGCTTACACTTTCTTCAAACCCACAAAATTTTCTTCAGAGAATCTTAAGGAGTTTCGCGCAGGGGTAACAATTTATATGACGCAATTGCGTTCAGAAAAATTTAGAAATTGGATGGACGTCAATTTGAAGATGGTTAGGACAATTTATATTTTCCCACCGCTGCCATATGCTTAAACCTATTACTATATGTTCTATTATATTGAATCAAGGTTCAGTTCGATTCTGAGAAAAAGTTGTGTCTTTGTTTAAAGACCACCCTAATATAATGATTTATGTGTTTTACAATTAACAAAAAAACTTTCAGTCATTTTTCATGGTGGAAACTTTTTAAGAATTTTCCTCAAAATAATTTTTACTAACACAATTTTTAATAAATATTTCTTAATGTGCAATTAGTTACCATGCATTGTTACAGTTGACTTAGAACGAAATTTAAAACATAAACATTCTTTTCCTGACCTTATTTTCATACTCTTATTTTCTCTGACCCTTATATAACATAAATTATTTATGTTAAGTTAAGTTTTAACGCAGCGATTAGGTATAATTAAATTGAAAAATGGCACGGCATCACCTGATGTACCTTAATTAGAACATGATCTTGCGTTGGCTAAAGCGTTCCTAGAGCCTGCATTTCAATCAACGTGAGTTATTCTCTTGCTCCAATTGCTTTACCGTTAAAAAATTTTTATTTAGATATCCTTAACATGTTCATGGTAGTAGCGGATTTACCAGCAGGCTGAGTGGGCTGAGATGGCAAATTTTGAAGGGCGGCAGATTTCGCTCATAAATAATTTATTTGAATTGATTGGTTTACAGAATTAAAAGAAAAACAGTAAAAAAATGTAAACTCGATTACGATCGGTCAGCTTGTATGGCAGCTATATGCTATAGTATTCCGATCTAAACAATTTCTTCAGAGATCGTCAAATAAAAAAGTTTTCATACAAGGATATGCTATAGTGGTCCGATATCGGACATGATGGTAGACTAAGCTATCAAAGTTTGGAGGCGGCAAAAGTTGATTAGCGGCAAAAATATATAAATCCACTGCTAGTTCATGGATATATATATATATTCAGAGTTGAATTCTATTCTAGATTGGGTTTGTGTCTTGGTTATTGTTTTACTACCCTCGTTGTGGTATTTACTATTTGATGAAGGATTTCACCAAATTTATACCATTCTGTGTTATATGCTCTGGTTAGAGTCACAACTAATTAATATTTTTGCTGGTTCATTAGTAAAATTCTCTATCGCTACAAATCGTTTCAGAATATTTCAAAATACATTCTCAGAAACCGAAAATAGCTAGCAAGTCATCTGTATTTGATTTATTTAAAATTTATCCGCTTCCGGATAAAAAAAATTTTTATATTTTTAAAATTTGTTGAAATGTCCTTCTTCAGCCACATACATATATACATTCTAAATTTTTATTAGTCTGATATATTAATTTTAATTTTCTCCTTACATTCCAGCCTATTAAACTACCCATGTTTAAAAATGGACCACTAAATTATGTGTGCTCAAATGCAAAGGGTATGTTGTAATCTCATGGGTACAACGTCTAAAATGAAGCACATTAATATGTTTGCTGAAAATCCGGATATATATATACATATATATATCTTTTTAATTACCTATTCTTAGGCATCCTGTGAAATTTTTTCATTTCTCTTATATTTCTAATGGTTCTTAAATTAGTTTTATTTCCTCTGAATCCGTTATTAGCGTAGCCGAGGCAAGCACCTACTGTGTTACGAGCGCAAGCGACAGATGTCGCGCTGTTAACTTGGCTATCAATTATAGCATGCTATACAAATACCCTACAAGAACAGTGACAGTCATCTGACCGGTAATATGACAGTAGTAGCTAAAAAAATTTTCTCAGCGCGCAGAACAAAGTTCTATCATTTTCTTGAGAGCCTTTTGCAAAAACTGATGTAAACAAACGCATGTGTGTGATTTTGCACCTCGGTTGGTTGGTTCACTATATATCTATACAGCTCACTCTCATGTCTTTTTCTGAGTCATTGCTGACCATAAATCCATCACAGCTAAAAACTGTCAATTATGAATGTAAATCTAACAAGTGAAAAACTCCTTTGCGCAGTATATAATACAATTTTTATTGTTTTATTTATTTCAAGGCATTTAATTAAAATTAGTTATAATAATATTCATAAATATAAAAAAGGAGTGCAACAAACATATAATTAAATAATAAATTATGAAAAAAAAATTTTCACTTGATTCCATGCTTGCTCCATTCAAAAGCTATACATGTTTCTCCAGTTCATGGATATTTCGGAATTTAAAAATGTCTAAATAAAAATTAAAATCAACTATAAATATAATTTTGTTTGAAACTAAATAAAAATTTATGTATATTATATGCGAAAATTCATTCGTTATTTATTTATTTTTTTAATTTTGCTGTTCGTTTGACTGTCAGTGGTGACAGTACTAAAGAATGTAGCTATTTCATTATTACATATGTAAGGGTCTCTTTTTAACAATAACAGTGATAGTAAATTGTCTGTCAGTACTGACATAACATATGTAAGTGCATTGGGGACGCGATCAGCAGTTTCTTGTAGGGTCACTTTATAGTAAGTAAATAAAAGCTTTCCCAACTGAGCATATGTTAACAATTTTATGTGTTGTACAAAATTACAAATAATTCAGATAATTATGTTCTTTGAAACCTAATGGAACTACTCACAGAGAAATATGTTTACTGGAATTTTACGATTTTAATTTTATTTTGTTTTTAACATAGCTAACTTGCGAAATTCCGACAATAAAAACAGTATTTTCCAAATTTTTGAATTTTTGAAAATCTGCCATTTAGAACTTGTAAAAACGTAAATAACTCAAGTTGAAGAGTATATTTGCAAGTAGCTAACCAGCAAATTTAATTATTTTCGGTAATTATTTTGCCACAAACAAACCAGTTTTCAAGAGCTTAGTTTGCAAACTCACAAAAATTTCTGCAAGCCAAATGTTTAATGAAATAATGCAAGCAGTTAATGAAGGTTGATTACTAAAATTTCAATAATCGCAGAAACATTTCCCTCACATCTCTCTCTCTCAGCATTCTTAGCTTATTTAGCAGCAACGCAGGCGCAGCAGGTCGCCTTCCGGTGGTCTGCTTCAGCAGCATGAACTCTCCGACTGCCATGTCACGTGTAAATCGATAGCGTTTTTCACACATTCAATGGCTGATTGTCTGATCGCAGCATATTTCTGCAATTATGCACTCAAATTTAATGAAATATTAGCAAAAGCGCAGATTACCAACACATTATCCTCGTTGCAGTCAGCGGGATACCCACACAACTCTGCATACCCAACAGCCTTACGGCTGAACACACTCGACTACCGTGGCCCAAATCCGCTTAAGCACACAAACAGGCCGTGTGCTCTGTCGCCGCATTTGCTTCGCAGGACGTGCTCGCCTTCTCACACACACACACACATATACGCAATCCAACAGCGGCGCTGTGAACAATGTGCGAAAATACATTAGGATTAGCTGTCGCGCATTGCTTTGAGTCAATTGTTAAATGAACAACGTCACACTACAAAGACAAGCAACAACAAGAGCGCACGAAACACAGCAGCGGCAAACAGTGGTCCTTGTAAGCGTCATGATCCTGCCGCATTCATGAATTTACTTCCATGAGAGTGTGTGTGTGTTGTATAAAAAATGTGTGGAGTTCTAGATCGGAAACCGATGTTTCAATTACCCATTGAAGCTGCCAGTAAATGGAAACCGCAACCGAAGTAGCATGTTACTGATCCTGCTACTCTACTCTCTTCAAGCATTATGTTGTTGCAGTGGTTCGTAAGCATGTAATGCGAAAGGATAATTATTTTGCTTTTGTAAATAATGTTTTCCACACTCATAGCGTTCTTGTTATTGTTTCTATTCGGTTTTACTTCACTTCATACTGTTTTCTATTCTTTTGCAGTGCTCTGTTGAGAACTGAGAGTAATGAGATCCTTATCTCAGCATGTGTCCTTTGTCATCAAGAGTTGCACACACTCAAAACAAGGAAGGATCATGAGACGTCTACACCTATTAGCGGATTATGGGCGTTTACTTTGGTTTTCTTGTCGACAGTCTCCATTCTTCAGCAGCATATGGTAAGTGCTCGAAATATTTATGTAGACACCATGTATGTACTCTATTTCACCTATTCGAGTTTGTTTTCATGTTGCTTTGTTAAAAAAATCATTTATTTTACACAAATGTATCCTAAAATATCTAAATTGGTGGGTTTGGCGGTAGAAAACAAAAACGCCCCTCGAAATGCAAACGGAACGAGCGGAACTAAATGCGAGAAATGCCTTAAGTACTCATTTCTATTAAAATGGAATCCACGATTGCTTTAATTGTATAGAAAACTTAATTGGCGTCACAACTGTCTATAGCGCTTCCGTGTAGCTTAACACCAGTTGAAGAGTCACAGAAATTTATAGGAACTCAGTAAGTTTATGCATTGATTTGTAAACTTCGCGCGGCCTCATATGATCGTAGTTTAACTCAATATTATGAGTAACTGTTTTTATGATTGATGTGCTTTGCAAACACCTAAAGAATTCAGCCAAATCAAAGTTCGAAATACCAAGCCACGCTCTTCTCGACTTGCCTTAGCAACTCGTGCTCCCTGTATGTCACTGTGAACATTTACTAGACCTACTTCTTTGGACAAACCGGAGAATAAGAACGACAGCGCATCTTAAGACACATCTTTTGAGAACTCTCAACTTCTTCGCCTCGAAGTGGCGTTTCCGGCTTATCGTTTTCTCTATATATTTAACCAATGTATCCGTTTAGCAGTTTGAAGAAGTTGACGCTCTACAAATGAAGTAATTCTCAGATGTCAGCTCTAAGTTCTGTATTTCTAAATTGAATCTGTACATATATATCGCAACTGGTCCGAAAAGTACATATTCAGATTTTATATTAATTTTATCTGCCTCACTAACAACATGTAATGATTTGTTATTTATTTGACACAGCTATTATCATAATCTTAAATCAATCTCTTTTGTCTTTCACTTTTCATTTCCTCACAGAAGAAGTCTCGATTCTCGACGCTAATACGAGTATTTCCACAAAAAAGAAACTCAATCAATTGCGAAACAAATTTCCGTTTCCGTTTCTATGCGGAGTTGCTATAAAAAATGGAAACCTACAATTTACATGCGCACATACATACATACATGTAAATATGCATGCGTACATAGTCACATGACCTTACCTGAGATATAAAAAAAAGGCCCAGGTGTGAACTAGTTACGTACTAGTTAATTTCAAACTAGTAGAAGGCAGACGAGTAATTTGTACATTTTATCTTTTGGTAGCATTATAGCGCAGCATCGGTGCTTTTCTTCATTCTTTGGAAGATTTGCTGAAAAAAACTAGAATGAATTGCGTTGTAAGGTCATTGTATTCTTTATAATATATAAAAACTCCCAGAAAAGCTATAGAATTGAGAGAAATCTGTTGGTGTAAAAGATTACTGTTTTCAGATGTCTTTTTATGAGACTACTATTGTACATTCTTGCTGCCGGAATTACATATACAACTCACCTTTGCTGGGTGTGAATTTGTACAGGTTGCATTTGATTGCACTTTATTACGTGTCAAAACTGTAATGAGAGAAAGAGAGAGAGAGGTGAAGACGAAATGACAAAGCGTATTAAAAGTAAGACTAGGCAAAAAATGGAAACTCACACACGCAGTGACATATAGACAGATATACACACACATGCATGAACTCGGAAATACAAAAGGTGCGAAAACGGGTGGCGATTCTACGCTCAACCTTTTTGTTTTTGGGGTGGCAAATTAGCCGTAGGCTCACAACAAAATAGAAATAAAGGTCCAAAGAGAAAAGCGGCAACTGCAAAATAAATATTTGTCAAAATGACAATTTAGTATAGCGTATACATATGTACATACATGCAGAAATACGTTTTTATTAAATAATCTAATATGCATATGAGCGTGTGTGTTGTTGTTTTCGTATGTTACAGTCCGTGGCGCGTAAATGTTTGTAGGCCATTAAAGGTTGCCTTTGCTGCCCGCAACGACATTGATCAAGTCGACATTTTCTCTGCCACACACATATGTTTTTATGTATGCCTCGGCGCAGGTATACTTTTTCTGCCCATCATAGATGGCCCGCGGCATTTTCCGATTATTAACAACTAAAATTATCATACTCGCTGTGATTTTTCGCCTTTCACCACAATAAACTACTAAATACAAATCTGGTCGGGGCGAAAATTAGCCGGAGGCTGTTAGTCACGTGGCGCTTAAAATTTAATTTGTACTTGTAACGAAAAAAATATACAAAGAGAAACATAAATCTTTTGGAAACCTAATTTAGCAACGCTGTGACACATGTGCAACATTCCATTTGTCACTTTGTATTTATTTAAAGAATAGGTATATATTTTAATAATTTTTTGTGTTTCTGTGAAGTACTACCGTTTACATCTAATTGAGTGTCACCTAATGTCACAACCTAAAAATAGCAATTATTTAAAATTTTTAAGAGCATATTTATACATATTTTAAAAATAAAATAACTAGTAAAATGTTTGAAGAAAAAAAATTAAACAGTTTTCGAGATAAGCGCAAGCTTCGATATCGCTAAAAAGAGGTCCAGCACTGCTACAGTGATTCTGGCCTTCCGTGGATAAAATCTAAAAAAAAAAAATTGTCTCTAGAAGACTTACGGCCGAAAAAGAAACCAAAAAATTACAAAATAGCGGCATTAAAAAAAACAGTTGATTTTATTTAAAATTTTGGTGTGTTTTGGCTTGCCAAAACTCGCTTTTTCATCAGATTTTAACTTGTAAGTCATTGTATGGAGAACTGTTTACAGAACATGCATTTTATCGTGTTCGGATCGTTTGTCTCCGAGTAATCACTGTCACGTTTACTCTTTACTTGACCATTGGTGCCGGTTTGGCTGGGATAGTCCCAATTCCGAGTTAAGCGTCCCAGCCGTGCCGGGCGCAAAACATAAAAAAAAAATTTAATTGAATAAAATTGTGTTGCTCTCTCACCTATTATATGTCGCGATTTTCAGTGAATTACAATATGGAAAAAATCGATGACTAAAAAAACCGTCCCGGATTATTGGGACAAATATATCACCTGTAACTGTTAAAACAAAAATTTTATTTTATTACATTTTTACACCATGTGTGCCCCTTAATGTTTGCACTTCTGCCCTCAAAAATAAACTTGTGTATTACAAATAATTATTGTTTAATTAAAAAAGTAAATAATGAGAAAAAAAAATCGTCAATATCAATGCATTTGCCGCCGAAACAGTTAATTTCCTATTAATTTCAGAAAATTGCAATTTGCAAGATGGTGATTTTGTTTTCTGAGTTAAGACCAGAGCATTTCCTTAACCATCGCTATTTCCTACTTACCTACCTTACTCACTCCCCCTTGCAGTAATCATAAATAACAAATGTAAGCAAGAGGTGGCTTAGTGGCGGTGGCCATTTTCTATTATACGCTTTCTTGGTGAATTCGGTGATTTCGCGCTTTGGAAGTAATTAAAATTTTGGCATAACAATTTTGCTGAGTTTTCATTATTGAAATTGCAATGTTTTCACCTTTTCACATAAACTAATTACGCACACAATAACAACAACTCTGCTGCATTTCGTGAAAATTGAGATGGTGAAATTTCCGGTTGCAGTCCGGCTACAGTTTATTATGGAAACTTCATTGGCACGACGTGGCGTTGCCAACGTAAACTAAGTAATAAAGAATATTAATGACTTTTGCGTTTGCGAAAAGTAAATTACGCAGGAAATTGATACAATTTTGTGCATTCGTTTCGTAAATAAATGAAAGAAAGTAACAGATTTGACAAACTTTAAAAAAAAAACAATTACATAAACTAAATAATTAAATGTGAAATGTTTCCGGGGTAATGAATTGAAGATGGGCATGAATCACTCCTAGAATCATCACTGACAGTGATGTGTCGAGAAAACACCGATGTGGAACCTTCTTTCACCTCACTTTGTATTACTACCGTGTTACTTATATTTTGGTTTAAGCAACGACATACAAATTAATTTTACCAAAACCTCTATAGACGTAAAGCTGCAGGTTAGATACTTTAAAATAGCCGCGTATTTGCTTCTATTGTCCGTTTATTATCTAATAAACCACTTTTTTTCCTGTGTCAGTAAGACCATGGTTGGTACGATTCATATTCTTACTTCGTTCAGTTAACTGTCCCTTAATTGAGAAGGCTACCCCTATAGCTCTCGCTCGCAGAAACCTGTAATTACCATTTCTGCAGTGATTACTGTTGAGTTAGAATCATATGGACCTTTGCTTTCAGCTGAAACCTACTTCGTGATTTTTCAAGCTATTAAGCCAAATTTTTTAAGTTCTGTTGCGTTTTTAGAAAACTGATGCATGTTGTAAGCTCATCGTTAGAGGGAGAAACTGTCAGTTCCAGGCTATGTGCTTCTAATCAGTCTTGGGTTGTGGTTAAGACTAGGTGTTTCGTCGGCGTATATAATAATCTTGGGCTAAACCACATGTTAAACACATTTTAAATTCATCCACCGATTGCCTTCAGTAGTTCCATTTGCATATCAGTATTAAATTTTTGGCTTATATCGATCAGATCGATAATTCGTTTATATATAATGCCACTGAAAGCTTAGAGCTGTCTGTTGTATCTCTCGTTTTAACGAACGTAACACTTGATGAGCTGTTTATTGCATAGTAATTTTAGAAATAATTTCTCCCAGGTGTGAAATAATTCTAGCAGATAATCCACTCTCATTGTTGACTGTTGCGTGGATGGCAGATATCATTAGTTATTCAAGTAATTTTCTGTTGTATCATCTGGTTTATATTTCTAATTTTGAAAAGAATAGAAACTGAAGTCAAAAAAAATATATTTGTTTATTTTCAAAATGTTGCCATATCGTCTGGGCGTTGCCGCATAACTCATTTCAGTCACGAAAAATCTTGTTATTTTGTTGCTGATATTTGACACTAAACAACAACAAGCATTCAAAACATTGAATTGCCGGGAGCAATGGCGCGCCCACTTTGGTAGACATTCATAATGGCATTCGTAATATTTGTACAGTTATTATTGAATGCCTGCGTAATTGTGTGCTAAGGTTAAATATGGGCGGCACACACACGCACACACACAAATACATAAGTACTCCATTGGTGATTTGAATTCGCGTTTGAACTGCTGATTGAGTGACCAAGTAGCTGAATAAGCGGGTGAGTGCGCTGCTGATGATGATGTGTTCCGATGATTGCATTATGATTTAGTAAGAGTTATGATTCAATTTTCGACAATTGCCTAAAAACAAATTCGATTGAATTTCGAACTGCGGTTCGCTGGAGTGCACCGGTAATCATGGCGAGCGCTCGGCCGCTATGCGTATTGAGAAGGCGGCTACGGCTGGTGGGCGTTGTTCGACCGCAAATGTTACATAAATTGCAAGTTGATAAGTTAAGCGCCCGCGGCAGCCAACTGAAAAGTGTTGTTGTTATTCTGCAGTGTTTCAATATTCAAATGCGAAATCGCTCGTTTTTGAAAAAAATTGAAATATTTTGGGTTTAGCGAAAGGTTGTTTCTAATATACTTAATTTCACGCTCAAATTGATTGTCATCTGGCAACTAGAAAAAGAATAACAAAAACAAATAGGTGCTAAGTACATAGCACACACACTATGAGCTCGAAACTAAATTTTTTCAGCTTGCATTTTCAACATGCCTTATATGCCCATCCTGCTTTGTTTTTGTTTTTCTTTTGGTTGACATAACATTACCAATACCTAAAAGTTACAAGTATTTATCTCATGTCAAATTCACCCCACCGCATCATCCTAAAAGTGTACTCAGGCAAGAAATCGGCTTTCACACGTCTTTCAACTTCGACTGCCTTCTTCCTAACGTATGTACATACATACAAGCACACATGAAACGGTAATTACTTAGAGCAGTGGATTAAGTAGTGATGTCCTGCAAGTAAATTTGAAGAGATAACTAATTAGCTCATTTGTACGAGTATAGTAAAAATACAAATTGTGGAACCGCAACACAAAAAAAGAACTATTTCTTCTTTAAAATGAGGTCAATGAAAATTAGAATTAAAATTATTCAAACCAAATGGGATATGTCTACACTACAATTTTCCAAACATAAGATATCTGAATCTAATACTTCTTTAAAATTATATAATTTACTTGGATTTGAACAAATAAAACAACATAGTTATACTGAAATATTGTTTAAGGGGTTCGTTATATCCACATGTTATTTTAAAATAATCGACTTTTTTGCTTAGTTATTGAGCGTAAATATATTTGAAAATATTCTTCGAATATTTTAGGTATATACGGCAAATAGTTTGGGAGATACGAGCGTATTTGTGCGTAATCGGCTCCCAAATCGTAAAGCGTTTTTCTCGAAACGCTATTTTCAAAGTCGCTTAGAAAAATTTCTTCGTAACCGTTGTTATGTTTTCACAAAAAAGTAATTCGATCATTATCTGTATTTACTTATAGTAATAATACAATTTTTGGTTTTTGGATTTGAGATAATTTTAAGCAGCAAAATTTTACTGACCACCAAACACCTTGTTTCGGAAGGTCTCCTGGAGATCGTCTACGGGTACCGCTGAATCCAATATTTTTCAAAATTAATCACCGATTATTTAAGTACTAGAAAAAACTTTTATAAATGTAAAATCTTCAAAAAAATTTACAAAAAAAAAACGTGCCCTTTCTGAGTGCATTTCTGCAAGTGCATTTTCCCTTTTATTTAAACAATTTTACTTTTATATTTGCATGAATTTGTACACTCTCATTAGCAATAATTACATTTTCAAAATTAGTCTTATTTTCAAATTAAACAATTAAAAGTATTTGCTTTAAAAATTGTAAAGAATACTAAGCGGTAGAGCGCTCTAGCATTTCTTACAGGGTAATTATCAATTAGTGGTTCACATTTCCTCTAAGGTATTCAACATACTACTTGTAGTAGTTGTCTCATTATTACTATGTTGTTTTGCACAACACTGCATTCGAAAACAATGAGGTGTTAATAACAGCGTGACAATGTCGAGTGGTGTACACAATGAAGGAATAGGTAAAAATTTGGCATTTAAGACAAAACACATAGGCCATACTCGTTTAAGGAATATACAAACAAAATCTTAATGGAATTTTGTAATGAAGTTACTGAGTGATTTTAATTATCTTTTTGAAAATTTTGATCTGAAATATATATATATGTATTTTTTTTCGATCATATATGAAATAATTTCCCTCCTTGGTACTAAAACCAATTTATTCCTCCATTTAGTAGCGAGTTGAGATATGTTGATTTTTTTTTACAAAGCTGGCTACACCTCTATGAACGAAATCGAAAAATGAATTATTTTCGAAAATAAAGAGATTACAAAACGAAAATAATTCAGATTGGATGCATGTTATGCTTTGAGTTGATGAAACAGCAACAAAAATTAACAACAATTCAATTGAATTTCATTTGATTATTGCTACAAATCTTTTCTCTCTTGTTGCCGGTTGTCGCATAAGAAATCAAAAGCAACCCGTTAATTACAAATCAAACGAAGTTTGACAGATGTCCGCCGAAGTGCATCATGACCCGCAAAAACTGCTGTGACGGGTTCGACGCCCGGCGGCTCTCAGCGTGTGATCGAATAATACCAGTGATGATGACAAAGGCTTGTTACGGGACTCACGTCGGATAAAATCTGTTCGGTGCCCCTGCCGTGCAACCGTAAATACTTTAAATATTGGCTAATAGAATCGTGTAGTGTTGCATTGCATAAATTATTGTGGTGTTTCAGTTGAACTAACAAATTTATGTATTATTATTTGGAAACTATTTAGCGATGTTGTTGCTGCTAGGGGGGTGTATGAGTGCATATGTCCTTGAGTTGCGATTCGCTGTCTGCGATGGTGGTGTTCCTGTTGCCGCTTAAGTATGTGCAATTGGCTGGAATAAAAATTTGTTGATTAATTTCCGTAATATAATTTGTATTACGATAAGCTGGCAATATGTGCTTCTTCGCTTAATATTGCGTACTTTGGCGCAAATTATATAATATGTGTGCATAAAGTATGTAATTGGCTGAAAATCTGTCATAAAGTTCAAGCTTACTTTGAGTATTAAGAAATTCTTAATTTCGAATTGACAAGTAATCGCGCGTAGATAATCAATGCCTTCCTTCGGAAAAAAATCTATATTCCGTTTTAAAATATACACATCAACTTGATGTCCAACATTCTAGGAAAAGCATGTACGCACCTTCGACATCGCAGATTGCTTTTACGAGAGGCTCCTAAGTTAAATTTTGAAGAGCTGTTCTGTTTAACACAGACAGGACTATTAACTAGTTGATTTGAAATTTTGTGTATCCAATATAGTCCCGCTAAAAATTCGTTGAAAATGTTGCATGTGTGTTTTGAGTAATCTGCATTATCGCGAATGTATTATGTTAAGTATTTGCGTGACACAAAGCTTTCAGTTAAGATCGTGAAGTCATCGAAACATCGAACACTTGCCTCATGCGAGTCTCTTATCCACCTCTTTTAATGATCATAACATCATTACAGAGATAGCAGTGGATCTGAACATCTCTTATGGATATGATATGAAGCGTGTTAATGCTATACGCGTACCAAGAGACTTGAATCTTCTGGAAAAACGGTATCGAGTAGAGTTCACCAAAGCGATGCTAAGAATCTTATATTCAGCAAACGCATCATAACTGGTGACGAGGTGTGAAAACTGTCTTACGATCTAACTTATTGCGCTCTGACTGACAATAACATATTTAACTAATAACATATTTATGGAAAATTGCATATACTTATATGATTGCATTGACTTCAAGAGAGCCCATTTTGAAGGCGATAATAAATATTTGTAGTGAAATTTAGATTTTTTTGTCAATTCGGGTCAAATTGAGCAAAGGGTAGATAACCTTTTCAAATGTTGCTGTACGATTTATTGTATGTTAGCTCTCTGTTTTGGCGAAGCCCAGTTAATGAAATTTTCCTCAGACATTTATATCTTTTGAAAGTTAGATGATAAAATTTGTATTTTTGTGACTTTTTCTCATAGAAATGATAGGAAATTTTCAGCCTACCTGCTATATCCTACTTCGAACAGCTTGCAGACATTTATACTTAAATATTCTCTAGGATACTTTTGAGTTTGAAAGTGATATTCAGTTCGTGTTGTTATTGAAGTAAGAATTTAAGTTTAACTGCAAAAATTGTTAGTTTCATCTCTGAAAACAAATTTACCCTTAAGAGAATATGCATATTCATATATAGAAATAAATAGATATTTGCACATGTGTGTAAATACAGTTTTAATTTAATTATTTTTTCGGTGAAAAATAATGCACACAACAATAGCAGCAATTAGATATTAAATAAATCTAAAAGATCTTTTTTTGAAAGCAACAAATTGACTCACACAAATTAGAGAGCGCCATGCTTTCACATACACAGAAATTTGCATAGATATCTGTATGTACGTATGTGTGTGCGTGTTTTATTTCGGTTTATTTAGCTCATTTACTTGTTTGTTTATTTAGCGGTAGTTTTCCACCAGCGATTTCAATTATTTTAATTAAATCCAAATTGCAACATCATCAATTTGTGCACACTTTTATTTACATGACTATTTAGTGTGCAAAGAATATATATACCTATGTATGAAAACATATACAACAATCCGTTTGTGACATTACGAGGAAGAGTAAAATACATACAAACATATATATCTATATGTAGCGGTATATGCTTATATATTATATATAAGTGCTTAGTTATAGGCCCACGCATAAATATATTGACTG